TTCCTTCCTTCCTTCCTTCCTTCCTTCCTTCCTTCTTTCCTTCCTTCCTTCCTTCCTTCCTTCCTTCCCTTTTTTTCTTCCTTCCTCTACTGGAGCATAAACTCAGGCCTTGGATGCTGTTCTTTAGCTTTTTTGCTCAAGGTTGGCACTCTCTCATTTGGACTTTTTGGTGGTTAATTAGAGATAAGGGTCTCATGGACTTTACTGCTTGGTTTATCTTTATATCATGATCCTCAGATTTCAGCCTCCTGAGTAGCTGGAATTACAGGCATGAGTGACCACTGCCTGGCTCTTTTGTACTTTTTATTTTCTCAGCTAATACTTGTGATTCTGATTGAGAAGAATATTTTATTTTACTACTTATTTGCTATTTGATTGTAATATTGTAATTGTTTTCCGTGACACTGCGCATGGTACACTGGCTCCTATGTTTGATTGCTCTCCTCCATTGTGTGCTGTTTATAAATGTTTTCAGAAAGAGAAACTGCTCATGGTGTTGGAGTCCCTGGGAGATACCCTGTGTTACCGTAAGAGCAGTGCTGGCTCAGAACAAACGGAGGCCATGCAGGTGCATCACAGGATGACCTTCGTCAGTGTTGGGCTCTTTGTAGTTCGTCTGTTGCAAATACTTCTCCCGGTGGAAAAGGTAAGGCAGGTAAAACTGTGTACCTGTGTGTACTTAATATTGCAAGTATCTGCTCTGTTGTAAACGTCTTCTGATCATTTTGTGGTACAAGGATATTCTGTTTGGGATTACTTTTGGAGATACTGGGGCTTAACTTCAGGACTTCATGCCTACAACACAAGCTCTCTATCACTGGGGTCACATTTCCAGCTGGACTGTTTTAAAAATGAGTATGTGATTTTAAGAGAAATGTAGAAGCTGAGATTTTGACAAATCCTTGGATAAAAAGGCAGTTATGTTTATTGCACACATTTTACTGTTAGCTTCTACATTTTGCTTTTTTAGTCTTTAACTTGTTTGGTTAATGAATATCTAACTGATTCCCTCTAGTGAGCGAGTAGTATTAGATAATGGACATAAAACTGACTACATCAAAAGTAGTCTCACAGAACTTAGTTTTTTATACAGGATGAGATTACTGTTGTCTACTGTGTACATGTACATACTTTCATTTGGATCACATGGAAAGCAGGGGTTATGTCTTCTATTCAAATAACTAGTATTATAGGCCTTTCTCTGTTCATTCTATACAAATAACTACTACTGTAGGCCTTTTTAGATACTTGAGTTATATTTGTAGAGCACACACTCCTACATGTAACCTACAATATGTATATCTACAATATAATTTATTATTATTATTACTTTATTTTATTTTTTGGTTGTGGGGCCTGAACTCTGGGCCTGGGCACTGTCTCTCAGCTCTTCAGCTCAAGGCTAGTGCTCTACCACTTGAGCGACAGTGCCACTTCTGGCTTTTTCTGCTTATGTGGTGCTGAGGAATCGAACCCAGGGCCTCATGTATGCAAGGCAAACACTCTACCACTGAGCTACCTTCTCACCCCTGTTAAAGGACTTTTTAAAATTAACTTTAAGTAGTTGTACAGACATTTTTTATATAAGTAGAAGCACATTGATCACTGTTGCCCCTTTTATCATTTCTTCCCAAGATACAATTAGTTACTAATATGTTAATACATTATTACAGGCATAATTAAAATATTAGTTACTTAATTTGTTAATCATTTTATTAAAAATGTGAAGAAAACAAGTAGTGCATAGAAATGATAACTGTGAGCTTATTTGGGGAAGATGATTATAAAGAAGCACTTTTAGAAAACTTGAAACAGTAGAAAGTGCCAGAGCTAATTTCTTTCCTATCTTGCTGCTCACAATGGCTGAAATTGTGCTGTAGGTCATGTAAATTTTCAGATGTTTTTAATAATACTCTTTCAGAAACATTAACTCTACAAAGGCTTATTAGGTTAATTTTGTTTGTTATATTGTAATGTATGTTCAGAAATGTATAGTCCAGATTTTTTAAACCATTTTTTTAGAACCAGAAGTAGATTACCATCAGTAAAAGGCCTTTTCCCATCCATCACCCTCCTTCCTTCTACAAATTTAACTTTAGAAATGACTTTGGTCACTATGGATTAATTTGACTGTTTTGAACTTAGTTTAAGTGAAATTATTAAGTATGCCCTCAATGTTATTTTTCCTTGAGATTAATCACTGGTTGCTTATAGCAGTAATTTGCTAACTTTTTCCCCCCAAAATTCTGTTCAGTTGTATGTTAAAGATTATTATTATTTATTTTTTTTGGTTGTGGGTCTTGAACTCTGGGCCTGGGCGCTTTCCCTCAGCTCTTCAGCTCAAAGCTAGCGCTCTACCACTTGAGCCACAGCACCACTTCTGGTTTTTTGGAGGTTAATTGGAGATAAGAGTCTCACAGACTTTCTTGCCTGAGCTGGCTTTGAACCGTGATCCTCAGTTTTCAGCCTCCTGAGTAGCTAGGTATGAGCCACCGGCACCAGGCTAAAGATTATATTTATAGGTATAAATATTTCTTTTGCCAGGCAGTGGTGGCTCATTCCTCGCTACTCAGGAGGCTGAGATCTGAGGATTGCAGTTTGAAACCAGGTGGAGCTAGAAAGTCTCTGAGTTCTTATCTGGAGTTATCCACTAAAAAAGCCAGAAGCAGAACTGTGCCTCAAGTAGTAGAGTGCTAACCTTGAACAAAATGAAACTCAGGGACAGTGCTCAGGGCCTTGAGTTCAAACCCCAGGATTGGCGCGCGTGAGTGCACATGCGCACGCGTGCGCGCACACACACACACACACACACTTTAAATTTTACTGGTTGTGTTTTTAAATGTCAAGTTATGCCTCTGAATTTGCATGTTTCTGGTAAATGTATCAACTGATTAAAGTACAGATATTTGTAGTGTACTTACTGCTAAAGGGAAAGTGTGGTGTACCTAAGTGGAGATATAGGAGAAATTAGTGGAGAGCATTTGTTATGCCTTCTATGCCCTTAGGTATTAACTATTTGCAGTTTTCTTGCCTAGATTTCTGAGGAGCAGCATGTCTAAATTCTCTTTTCTTGTACCTAGTATGCAATATACTGCCATTTGGGAATGCAAGAATAAAACTTTAAAGTTTAATTATAGTATTTTGGCAAATAATTGTGGAAACCAAATTTTTTATCGTTTTGCTTTTATTCATTATTTTTCTGAAGTTATTTACTATTCTGTGCAAGGCATAAACATTTAAAAAATGGAAGATTCTAGGCAGGTATGGTTAGAGTTGATCTTACAGTGTGGGTATATTTCTTTATATAATGATAAACAACTAGAATAATGAAGTTAATTAAGTATCCCAAATGATCACTATCTCATGGTTGAAGTATTGGTGAAAAACTTTTATGTCCTATTAATTATATCATGTAGTTTACTACTGTTTTGTCATTTTTCATTGTGGGCTTATTTGGGCAGAGGTCAATTAGGATAGAAATAGTTTTATTTAAAATGAAATGAAACGGAAGTGCCCTTCTATTGCTTTTGCTGCTTTAGTTTACGTAATTGTAAGCTTTTGCTGCCCTCTGCCTGTGACTAACCCTCCGGCAATGTCTTGCCTTCCAAGTGGTATGGGGTTTTTTGTTTTTGTTTTTGTTTTTTGAGTTACTACTTATTAAACATGTAACTTGAATGTTGCAAAGTGAACATAACTCTGTGTGATTCCCAGAATTTGACAAAATTCGAAGGTCTATTTAAAAGTTATTTGTTGCTATAAAATTATTTGGTAGTATACCATTGTATAGGTTAAAAGGTTAATAATTTTGTGGAAAATATTTTCACTGTATTAACAAATTGGGTAAAGTAAATAAAAGTAATTTCATTTGGGGGAAAGATGTGTAAAAAAGATTTAGAAGTATTATCCATGGGCTGGAGTTAGGATCACAGGGCTTTCTGTTACCTTTCTCAGCCAAGCTGTGAGGGCCAGGAACAGCTTACATCACCAACCCTGGGATTTTTCAGAGAGGCCTGTGGGGTCGGATGAATGTTGGCTGATGAAATGAGTCACAGAAAGACATAAATATCTCCTCAAGATCTTGTTAATTACATTATATACATTCTGATTAATTAGATTAGGATAGGGCTAATGTCTGTGTTTCTAACAAACTTAGATTATGCTATGGCTGTTAAAATTGGCTAGATGTAGCCAAGTGCTGGTGGCTCAGGGCTGTAATCCTAGCTACTTGAGGCTGAGATCTTAGCAACTTTATTTAATTTAGGGACATGGCTGTGTATTATTGCTCTTAATACCAGACTTTTAGTCAGCCATTCATGAAAAATCATGACCAAATGGTTTTCAGTGAAGACATTTCAGCTGTAATGCTGACTTCATCATTTTCTTGTCTCTGGACATTGACTCATATCCATCTCATTTCTTGAGATAAGCTGAGAATCTTAGCACAAATGTAGAATCATTAAAAAGTAGTTATTGCCCTGGGATTCAATCCCCAGTACTGGAAGAAATGGTTAGTTTTTTGTTGTTGTTGGTGGTGGTATTGTTTGAAATCTGCTGATCTAGGCTACAACATTATCAGATGTAATAGTGATATTTTTCTGGGAGTATTCTGGAGGTATTTAAAGCATTATAATGAATTTCCTTTCTCCTCTAGACAGCTAAGTCAAGAATCCATTTCTGCTCATATTTAGTTATATTGGACTTGACTGGTATTCCTACATTTAATATGTGTCTAGAATGTCCTGTGTTATGTGTCCATTTATGGGCAAGGGGCTGTTCTTGTTCTTGGACTGCCTTGGGTAATGGTAGAGATTTTTGTACACATGTGCAAGTATTCTGATGAGACATTTGGGACAGAAAACAGTTCCTGTGGACAAAGACACAGAGGTGGAAGGTGTGTAGAATATAAAACCTTCTCTTAGCTGGCCACTGGTGACTAACCCTTGTAATCCTAGCCACTCAGGAGGCTGAGATCTGAGGATTGCGGGTCAAAGCCAGCACAGGCAGGAAAGTCCATGAGACTCTTATCTCCAATAAAAAAAACAACAGAAAACTGGAAGTGGCGCTGTGGCTCAAGTGGTAGAGTGCTCGCCTTGAGCTGAAGAGCTGAGGGACAGCGCCCAGGCCCAGAGTTCAAGCCCCACGAGGAACAAAAAACCAAAAAATAAAAACCTTCTCTTTAAAAAACAGATTTAGTGATAGATAATTATTTAAAAGAAAGGTGGGCTTGATTAAGATATGATAGCATTTCATCTTGTTCTAAAATAAATATTGTAAAATAAAAATGTGCTTTTTCATTTTTTAAGGCGAGCGAGTTTTTACCAGAGCCCATGTCAGCAGCATTATTTCTCCTTTGCTTGGACATGCCAGTGGCTTTGGAATATCCAAATAGTCATGATTCTGCGGTGGCCTATTTGGAACAGCTGAATCCTGAAAATTACAGTGTTTATAAACGAACTGCGGAGGCTGTGTATTCCATTGAATGTACCTGTAACTTCCTATCTGATATCGAGAAGGAGGTAAATTATTTTACTAGTATTAAATCCTGCTGATGGAATACTTAGAAAATTACACCTGTTTCAGATTGATAGATGTACAGCAAATGAATTGCTAGAGTTGTGATGCATTATTATTGGATGGTCCTATTAACCAGATTAAAGGACAAATATGATTTGTATAAAAGCAAATCAAAGACTTTAGATTATGTCGGATATATGTTTATAATATAAGTGGTTTAAAAAAGTAGTGTTGTCAGTGTCTTAACACTAATTGTGAGTGCAGATGAATTGATACACTATGTATGAACTGAGTAGGAGGGCTGTTTTATTGCTTTTAGTGTTTTGTTTATTTCATGGGCAGTTACGGCGTTCACATAAAGAAATCTGATTTCTTTGTGTTTTAGATGAGGTAATGAACTGTTGCTTGGAAGGTAGTAGGATGTCTTTAGATACATTGTTAGAGCAGTAATGATGTATTCCTATTTATTCTTTTAAAACATACTATTAGGTCACTGTTTGTCCTAATGAAAGGGTTCGTGGGTCCTAAAAAGCTAGTGAGATTACTAAAGAACTAGTAGAAAATTCTAGCTTTTTTTTTTTTTGGACTTATCCAGTGGAATCTCTGAACTTCGTATTTAGAACTTTCTTAATATGGTGTCTTCTTTCTCCTTTTGTCACATCTTGTTGCCACTGACTCTTCTTTTTCTTCTACATACAATTTTCAATTGTGTCTTTAAGAGAGATTATTTCTGTGGCATTCTGCATAGTTCTGGAGCCTCTGTGTTCCTCAGACGTGCTCAGATGTCAGAGCAGTGTTTGCCATAAGAAGGGAAGCAGGGCCACAAGCCGAGAGCCGTGTGCTCTGCAGAGTTAAACAGTACTGAGTGTCAGCTGGCATTTTGCTAGGGATTTCCCCCATATTCTTCCCGCTCAGCTGACTTCTTAGATTGCTTGTTCAGAAAATGGACTTACGTGAACAATCCAAAGGTCTCTTAAGCTGCTTAGTTGATTGTAGAGAATTTTATTATACTTGAACTTGACATTTACTATCTTTTTTCCTCTTTTTAGGGAGAGAAGAACTTCTTAGAATTAGTGGAGCTGGCAGACCAAGCCCTGCGCACCTTTTCCTACCATCAGCATTTCTCCCTAATAAAGGAAATCATCTCCATTTGTTCAAAGATGTAATACTTCCCTCCCTCTTCCTTCTCTCTCCTTCTTTGTCGTTCTTTCTTACAGGGTCGTATTGTTTAGTTCTACTGGCCTAAAAACATTGTGTGGCCCAGGCCAGCCTTGAAGTTCAGTTTTCTGGCTCCCAGATACTGACAGTATAGGCATGGACTACTGTGTCCTGCACATTTTTTTCTTATTAGCATTATATTACTCTAGGAGAGTGCATGTGTGTGCATGTAAACTTAGAAATAAGATATAACTGTAATCTTTACTATAATGCCATAATTGAAATTCTTTTCATATCTTGTTTGACTTTGAGATTTACACGTATAGCCACATTAGGAAAGTGAACTGTTTTACTTAAGAGAAAACTTTAACAGTGTTCTGACTACCCAGGCACTGGTGGCTCACGCCTGTAATCCTAGCTACTCAGGAAGATGAGATTGAGGATTGCGGTTTAAAGCCAGCCTTGGCAGCAAAGTCCACGAGACTCTTATCTCCAGTTAACTACCAGAAGACTGGAAGTGGCACTGTGGCTCAAGTGGTAGGGTGCTTTCCAGGCCCAGAGTTCAAGCCCCATGATTGACAAAAAAAAGTGTTGTGACTATAATCAACATGAGTAATTCTAATTCTTGTATTTTTATACTTCTGTTTTTGGTATCTATGCTGATCAGCTATTCAAGAGTATTTAACATAAAATTTCATTTCTTAATTTTTTTAATTTTTAATTTTTATTTATTTTTTGGGCTTGAATTCTGGGGCCTGGGCATTGTCCCTGAGCATTTCAGCTCAAGGCAAGCACTATACCACTTGAGCCACAGAATCACTTCTGGTTTTCTGGTGGGTAATTGGAGATAAGAATCTTATGGACTTTCCTGCCTGGGCTGGCTTTGAACTGTAATCCTCAGATCTCAGCCTCCTGAGTAGCCACTAGCATTAATGTAAGAATTTTTTTTTTTAGTCCGGTCGTGGGGCCTGAACTCTGGGCCTGGGCGCTGTCCCTCAGCTCTTCAGCTCAAGGCTAGGACTCTACCACTTGAGCCACAGCGCCACTTCTGGCTTTTTTCTTTCTGCTTATGTGGTGCTGAGGAATCGAACCCAGGGCCTCGAGCATGCAAGGCAAGCGCTCTACCACTGAGCTACCTTCCCAGCCCCAGTGTAAGAAATTTTTAAGTAATAGTTTACACTTAATGTTCCTTTTATACATTGTATATCATTTTCTGAAATGGAATTTTGGGAAAGAACTATATATTTGTTAATTTATTTTGAGGATGTTAGAACAGATTCTCATTTAGAGATTACTATCTTCATTGCTTTTTAAAAATTCTTACTACACCTTTATACAACTGTTCTCTTATTTACACAATATTAAAAGACAATTCTTCATTGTTTTTCAGTGGATAAATTTCATGATGTCATAAGCATTAAATATAGATTTTTTTTAAAGGTTAAGTTTCTTTTTTTCTTCTTTCCCCTTCCCTCTAACCTAACCCTCCCCTAACCCCTTCCTACCTCTTCTCCCTCTCTCCTCTCTCTTTCCTTCTTTCTCTCTCTTTCTTCCTCCCTCTCCCCCTTCTCTCTCCCTCTCTCCTCCCTCCCTTCTTCCTTCCTTGCCTCCATCCTCCCTTCTTTCTTTCTTTCTTGCTTCCTTCTTCCATCCTTCCTTCCTTAACTCTTTAAGAGGAACATTTTCTGCCTTGAAACAAGTAAATATTCAGGTAAATTATGGCTAGTTTGATTAGTTAAGACCCCAGTCAGAGGAATTGGAGTTGAAGAAATCTCTTCCAGTATTCTTTGTTGTTTCATTTACTCTCTTCCTTGTGCCTGATTTCCATTCCACCAGCTCCAGGTCTGCCCAAGCCAGTCCCCTGCTCCAAGGAGAAAGTCAGAAGGTGCTGCTCCAGATGTTGGCCCACCCAGTGCCACGCGTGAAAGTGGAAGCCTACCACTGCTGCCTGGAGGTTGTGAAGGTGGGCCTTGCTTTTCTAATTATACTTCCAGAGTTAAATTACTTGACTTTGCGTGTGACCTGCTTAGGACTATATTCCTTAAAGACAGATAGCAATTATTAGTCAATTCTGAGAAATTTGCACTACTGAACTTCTTTAACTTAGTGAGTCTACCAATTTAACTGTTTTCTTATAAATTCACTCTGGGTATGACATGTATTTGCTTTTTGTAATTTTTTTTACTTATGATGTTTTACTTCTTCTAGAAGAAGCTTCCTTTCTTTCTTTCCCTTCCTCTTTCCAGGACAAAGTATATGTGTTAACTAGTGTATATAATGTTGTAGAGAAAATAAGGCTATGAGGGAGTATAGACTAGATAAGGAGGGAAAAAGGGAGGCAGAAGAAACAGGTGAAAAAGTTCCTGCTTTTCAGATTTAAATGTATTGTGTGTGGTTTCAGAACTAAAAGTAGGTCTGTGGTTTTGGAGCATATTGAGAGTACAATGATACCAGATTGAATTGAACAGGTAGACAATAGGTGCTGCTCATATTTTTTTAACCACTGTATGTACAGCTTTGAATTTTATTCTAAATGTAGTGAAACACTATCAACGATTTTTAAGCGAAAGTTGGCTTGATCTACCTTTCTTAGAAGATCAATGTCTGGAGCTGGACCCTAGTGGGTCATACCTATAATCCAAGCTACTTAGGAGGCTGAGATCTGAAGACTGAGATTCCAGGCTAGCTCAGACATGGAAGTCTATGAGACTCGTAACTGCAGTTAAACAGCAAAAAGCTGGACATGGAACTTATTTAATTTACCTTATGTATTTTTTTTTTTTTTGGGTCCGGTCGTGGGGCCTGAACTCTGGGCCTGGGCGCTAGCGCTCTACCACTTGAGCCACAGTGCCACTTCTGGCTTTTTTTCATTTTGCTTATGTGGTGCTGAGGAATCGAACCCAGGGCCTCGGGCATGCAAGACAAGCGTTCCACCACTGAGCCACCTTCCCAGCCCCTACCTTATGTATTTTTAAGCAGAATCATAATATGTAGTCTAAATTGTCCTTGAGCTATGTGCAGCTCTGACTGGCCTTCAGCTCATTATTATAGTCTAAGCTTGCTTCAGTCCACAATCTTGCCTCGGCTTCTAGGATTATGCTGCTGCCCACCCATCTGGCTATGGATGATTTTGTTTTTGCTGGTCCTAAGTCTGGCTGGGTCTGGGCTCTGTCCCTGAGATCTTCAGCTCAAGGGTAGCGCTCTACCACTTGAGCCACAGCACCACCTCCAGTTTTCTGGTGGTTCATTGGAGAGAAGAGTCTCATGGCCTTTTCTGCCAGGGCTGGCTTTGAACTGTTATCCTCAGATTTCAGCATCCTGAGTAGCAAGGATTGACAGGCGTGAGCCACTGGCACCAGGCCTTGTTTTTCTTTTTCAATAAGATGCAAACATTTTAAGATACGTTTATAATTTTCTCTATTGCCTTTATGTCTGTTAACTTTAAGAGATGATGGATGCTCCACAGTTAGGTTATTTAATTTATAGACTCTGCTTATTTACAGACTCTATATATCTTTTTTTTTTTTTTTTTGGTCTGTTGTGGGGCCTGAATTCTGGACCTGGGCTCTGTACCTCAGCTCTTCAGCTGTAGACTAGCGTTCTACCACTTGAGCCTCAGCCCCACTTCCAGCTTTTTCTGCTTATGTGGTGCTGAGGAATCGAACCCAGGGCCTCATGCATGCAAGGCAAGCACTCTACCACTGAGCCACCTTCCCAGCCCCAGAGTCTATATATCTTAAACAGACTTAAACAATGATAGAGAATCTTGTTTTACCTTGTATTAATTTTAAAAAGTTTTAGGGGAGTAAAATTGGAAGTGAATTTGAAACAGGAGAAAGAATTTTTTTTGAAAAATAACATTACTAATTAAAAAAAACAAACTTGTTATTTTACAGGAATGCTTAGGTGTCCATAATGTCACTAAACCTGTGTCTTCGCTTTGTAGTGGAATTCATTTTCTACTTCATCCCAAAGTTCTGTATGAAATCTCTGCATTTGGTATTCAAGAACCCAAAAATGAGGTATGATGTGTTAAAAGTAAGTGTAAAGTACTAGTCAACAAATCAAGAAAACATTCTAATAAGATGGGTCTCATGATGGAGACTGAAAGGAACTGGACTTCGCTACATTTTAGTTGTGATGTTATTTATGTAAACATGTTAAAGAAATGTAGAATCAAAGTAAAGAACAAACTTGATCTTGAAGAGTCAGGACAAACAGTTTGCTTGTGGTTATCATGCAGATGGAAAGAACTATAAGATAGTGGTAGTAAACAGTTATTTCAAAATTTTGTTTATAAAAGGCTGAAAAGCAGAAATCCCTGAGGAAGAGAGCTGCATGAGAACAGAATGTCAGATGACCCTATGGAAATAGGAACATTTAAGAGGGAGAGTTTGCTGGGCACCTTCTGGACCGTAGCGGTTACAGTGTGGAATGTCTTCTTTCACTGGCTCATTGTGTCTGTGTTGTTGAGCAGGTGAATGCAGCGGCCAAGGCCATTCTCTTGTATCTGCTTCAGGGTCGATTGATGATGACAGCACCGACCTGGAACAAGTTCATCGAGTCTCTCTGTCCTGTCATTCCAGTTCTGCAGGTGTGCTGTGCTCTGTACCTTTTATAATACCATTTATCATTGGCTGAATGTGAGTGATTTGAAGGCATGCAGACTGCAGAGCTGTCATGTGGATAAGTGAACAGGAAGTGAGTGACTGGCTTTGGCAGAAGGTTAAACAAGGATAGATGTCCGTGTGTTGCCTCGTGCCGGTACTTACCTTATAGAAACGTTTTTGAGGCAAAGCTAACAGTACTTTTAAAGCAGACATTATATAACTCACTTGTTGTATGAATTCTATTGGTGTATATTTGTAATTTGGATGTGATGTCTTGAGGGAGTTCAGATTCTCTCCCCTGAATGGAGCAGTGGAGGTAGGTAGGATATGCTGGTGTGAGTGCGCATTGTCCTAAGCACAGTCTTCATTTAGGATGGCCCAAGCCTTGATCTGGTGGTTTTTTATTGGAGATAAGAGTCTCATGGACTTTCCTGCCCGTACTGGCTTTGAACCACGATCCTCAGATCTCAGCCTCCTGAGTAGCTAGGATTATAGACATGAGCCACCAGCTCCTGGCTCTTTTTTCTTTTTTAGTATAGTTTTATAAATGTTCCTTACTTGTGCAGGTTATTTTTAAATGTGACTATTTTATTCAATTGAATTGAAAGAACATTACAAGTTGGAGGACAGTCCAAACAGTTATTACTGTCAACCTTGAAGTAAAAGTGAATGATAATCTTACTCTTAAAAATACAATTATTAGGGCTATGCCGACCCAGAAGATCCCTTGGGTAACTGCATCCTCCTTCTAAGCAAAGCAAGTTCTGAGGCGGGAGAAGGGATCCTCCCCCACATCACCAGGCTGAGGTCCGTGTTGCGACTTCTATTGGTGAAAAAGCCATCGTGAGTACAACAACCTTTTATATATAAAAGGTTCAATAGAAACATTCTAAGCAAGTGTAGTTCTGCTACAAAGTGGAACGATAAAGTTTAGAGGAAGATAATTTTCCTTATTGGAGAGAGGAGACCAGTGAGGGAAACAAAGCAGATGTTGTCATGCAACAGTTCATTGATGTGATAGCTAGTTGTTGCACGCTACAACAGTCTTGTCAAGTACTGTCCTTAGTCCTGACCACTAGTGCTGTAGGCAAGTTGGAGAACCATGGAGATGGGAAATTAAAAAATAATAGTGTATTCTTGTACTTTTTAGAAATTGTTGGTTTCCTGGAGTGATCTTTTCTAAGCATCTGTTCTGAAAATTGTTTTTCATGAAAAGCATATTGGGTTAATTCCCTCATAAAGCAGAGACTTTCATCTCATTTCATTCATTTTGTTACTTGGGAAGCCATGGAGGGTCCTGACCAGGACCTGCACCACGTTAGTGCAGGTACCATATTAACTGAGAGTGGAAGCAGAAGTTATTATTTTCTTTCCTGCTGCCAGGAAAGAAGATGCAACATGCATCTTCTTTGTGGCTGTTTTTAGCTGACAGCAGCTAGTTTCTTCATTGAGAAGGAAAAGAAATTTGGAGTCAGGATGAGCTATGATGGAGAAGAGTCCATCAAAAAGGCTAGTAAGAACAGACAGACACTTTTTTTGACAATAGATAATTTCTTTCCTCCAAATATTATATCAGGACAGTATAGAATGTATTCATAGACAGGTGACCAGACTGACAAGTAAGGAAATTGCTAGAAATAAACAGAAACATTAAGAGAACAGAAGAGGAAAATCAAGAAAAGAGACCCTGGAACGGTTGGTAGCATAGAGAGTGAAGTAGAGTGGCTGCTTCCACACAGTCCCGTGCTGGCCAGGCAGTAGGTTCAAATCAGCCCCAGTTCAGTGATTTGACACAATAGAAATGTATTTCTTGTTCACTTACTGGGTCCCAGGTTCCCCAGGTAGGCAATGGCATGTTTTAATCGGGACAGTACTTAAGATGCAGCAGTTTGTATAAAAATGTTCCCCATTTGCTGGTAGTGAGAGCCTGCCAGAGCAGTAGTAGATTCATGGTGGCCATGCAATCCATCTGTGACTTCTGTCAACTTGATAATTTTGTTTTTCTGCTTTGTTATTTAGTACTGTGCTCTTCTTAAACTTTTCTTGGAAGTAGCTCACCTACCAATTTAACTGATTTTAATAATAATCTATTCTAGTTAAATTATTTGATGGGAATTTTTGTAAATTAGAGGAATTTATTTGATTCCTAATATAAGATTTTTTCCCTCCATTGTAGCGATATATGTTAGATATTAGTCAATTAATTAGTATAATTAATCAAACCCATAGGTTTGGCTTATTATTTGGACTCTGGTCAGAGGTCCCTGATACTTTTTGTGGTTACTACGTATCACTAGATTTGAAGGCCAGAGTTAATAGATTTATATGCAGTTTGATGTTGATTGTGCTGTTCGGTCTCAACAAGATTATCAGTTGTAATTATTCTTTGTTTTTTATGTTTATTTTGTAAATATTAAATTATTTTAGTTATATGTGAACATTAAAAAGAAAACAATATTAGTAAGAGCATATGTAATATTGATATAAAATAGTTCTTAGTGACAGGCCTTTATAATTGCTGAGTATAATATGAAATGTTGACCTAAATGTTTGTGTTGTAGGGTTCGCTCACTAGCACTGAAGCTAATAGCATTTCATCTCACAAGTGAAGAAGGGGCTGATACAAAGCGCCCCTTAATAGATGCCAGAGTTCTCGCCAGAGTTACTAATTTATTTATTGTGAAAAAACCTATTGAACTCAAATTAGATGATGGAAGAGACCTGGTCATTAAGGTGACTAAAACTTTTGGACTTCTTACTCTGTGGTTTTTTGATTCATTTGTGTATCATATATTTTATGGTACAATTTTTAGGTTGCATATGCTTGAGGGAGGAAGAGAAGTATGGTGATTCGAGGCTAGTTTAAAATTATGTTCTAGAGTCATTTGGCTTCTGGACACATTTGTTTATTGAGTAGATATTTCTTCACTGTCTTTTGTTTGCTAGGAATTATGTCTCTTTTCATTTAGCAATGTGAATTACTTTGGGTCGTGTCTTAAATAGAGCGTAAAGCAAATGGAGAAAAAAGAAAAGAAAAAATTTAATTACTTTTAAGGTATCTCTGACATAAAGTTGAAATTCTTCTTATATTGGGATTGTCTATACTAGCAAAAAAAAGTTCTTATGACAAAATTTCAACTTCCACATTATGCAAGAAAAAAAAATAAAGGCAGCTGTGGTAGCATCTGCCTGTAATTCCTGCACTCAAGAAGATGAAGCAAGAAGATCTCAAGTATGAGGGCAGCATAGGCCACAGATTCAGTTTGAAGTCGTCCTGGACTATAGCATGACCCAGTCTCAGAAACAAAAAAAACAAAAACTAAACAGGAAAAAAAATTGGGTACATAAAGACAGCTCCCTAAAATTTTACATTGGTTTTGAGATTTTTTTTCTGTTGATCTTTTTTATATTTATGTAGAGTTTTTATTTACTTTCCTCTCTGAAACATGCAAAGTTTCTCATATTTAATGGAACTTAACATGACCAACTTCTACAAAAACTGGTAGTTTTGTGTAGCAGCTTCACTTGATGGAGCAACAGCATGAATATATGTTTAGATGGTAAAATCAAGTGACAAATATAGGATGAGTGTGAAAAAGTATCACACTTCTGGCTTACTGGGAAGCATAATGGTTGTGAGAGTCATACTCTGTGTGGGAAGTGTGGTCCCCAGCACAGCGCTGGCAGACACTGTGGGGACCGCCATTTTGCTCATGCGTTCAGATGCTGCTCATTCAGTCACTGGAAGCAAACTGGAACTCACTCATTGATCAACAAGCAGGTAAGTCTAGTGAGCTGAGAGGAGAGCATTCTTGTTTCACAACTACTCGTACAATGCAGTTAATGATGTATTGTTATTAACAGCAGAGATTTTATGCTCCAAAAGAGAGAAAATGATCCAGCAAAATACTTCTATTTAATTTCCTCTTAACAGATGAAGTAAATTTAAGCAAGAATTGGCTTGTTTGGGGTTATTTCCTCATCAAATTGCTGTTGTAAATTCACTGGAGAATTATGCATTTTGTTTAACATTTAAATATACCAAACATTTTCGAGATAATGAATGGTGTTCAGTTTCCTTATAGTAAATAAGTATGCCTAGCCAAAAACACTCCTCTAAATTACATATAAAGAAGAAAGTACAAGAAACGATATCTCTCAGCTTTTTAATAGCCCTTGTTGTTAATCAAGCATTTTCTGTACTACTATGTACTCCAGTTCTGAAAGCATTTACTTCGTACGCTTGACGAAGTGTACGTGTGCTGCTGTCAGTCCCTTCCACGTGGGAACACTAGATTCTTTGACGCATTCATTGACTGTGGAGTTTCTCGGTCTTCTTTACGTTTTGAGTTTGTTCTGTTTTACACATCGGACGGAATCACCTGTTTCTTGAGTTCACAAGTGTTCATCTTCATGCCTTTTAAGAACCCCATGTGCTTCGTGGCCTCGGCAGGGCAGAGCTTGTCAGCCCTGCCTGCAGCTGACATCCTTCCCCACCTGGAACTGGGGCATTGTGGTGGGCAGGACACCGGGGGCTCAGTAAGGTCATGACAGGCCAGAATCCACCAGCTGCCCAGCCGCCCAGCCGCCCAGCTTCTGCTTTCCTCCCTTATCTGGTGATGGATCTTTTTTTCTTTTCAAAATCTTTGGCTTCTGACATACCATATATACCTGCAGAAGTTGAGCATCCATGCCCATTTTTGACCACGACTGTCTACCCACATCATATCAAAGTGATACCAATTCTACACAATAACCCGTCAGTTAACTTCCCAGACTCATTCCTGAGACAGCTTCTTATTTCATCTTTAAATCCACGTCAGTGTTTACATTTGGATGAATTCAGCAGGGATAGTGCTATAGAATCTCATGTAATAAGGGTTTCTTTTTTGTTTTGTAGAGACAAGGTCTTGTTATATAGCCTAAGCTGGTCTTCAATTGGAGGTCTTCTTGCTTCTATCCTGAGTGCTGTGATTACTAGCTGACACCACTATACCCAACTTCTAATAGTTTTTCCTTGGGTGAACATTATCACTTTGGAGCTCTAGGTTTAGGGCTACGTAACAGTCACAGGAGGATTGGAGAGGCATCTTTTGCCATTCATACAAACTCAGCTGGGGATTCACTGGGTACTGAGCCACTATGAGGTCCTCTTTTACCCTGTGTGTAGTTTGGAGAAGGAAAGAAGGGAATTTTTGGAACTTTTTAAAGCACATGGTCTAGAAAATAATTGTAAGTAGGAGAAACAAGGGATTTTAATTTTTTCATTTTGCAGTCTTGAATTCTGTCTCCTATGAAGTGAGCCAGTACCTGCCCATGACTCTCACTTCATTGTTTTTGTCTGTACCAGGGTCTCTTAAGGAAGAGAGCTGTGGGGTTTCCAGATAGTGGCTTCCTGAAACAGGGAAATCTTTTGAGTCTTAGGTCTGAGTGGGTTCTTCTCAGTAGCGTGGTACAACCTGTAGAGATGTTAGGGAATCTGCATGTTTTCTGTGCAGTTCATAAGGTGGCTAATGGATGGATGGGTTATGAAACACTTTCTAGCAGAAATACATATTGAGAAGAGAGGCTTACTAGACATGCTGGTCCTTTGTTTTAGGTTCTGAACTCTTTAGTGCATCAGCTTTGCAAATTTATATGTACATATTAGCAACTTAAGTACAATTATTTTTTATTGAAGATTTGGAAGCAAGCAAATGTGCTTATTTATTTATTTTGGTTTGTAGTTGGAGACTGTTGAAAAGGTATATGAAATCTTCACCTCAGATGACGTTGACCTGGTTTTGAGACGGTCAGCTGCAGAGCAGCTAGTAGTAATCATGCAAGGTAATGTCTGAGATTGCTGTGCACAGTAGTGTTAGGAGTTGGCTGACTGTGGTTTATGGACTAGAATCCACACTGTGGCCTGCTTTTATCTTTTCTACGAGTTCCTCCCTCAGTTAACCTGGTATGTGATTTTTTTTTTAACTTGTACATCTTCCTCAGAGAAAATAAAACAACACGTTTGTGGGGAGATAAGGTAAAGACAATGCACAGGAGTTGCACATTTTCCCTAGGGATACTTTTTTAAACAACTAGCCAAGTATACTGTTTACTGTATTTGCTCTTTCTCTATTTCATAGGCTTCCATTCTTTTGGTTTGTATTTTTTTTTCTGTTTTTGAAATATGTTAATGTTTTGTAAGAATAGATAACTTTGTGTCTATAAAAATAATTTTATGACTGACATTCCTTATCCTCACAGCATATTTGTGTTTTTTTTTTAAAGCTTAATTTTTTGGATTGACATATATATAATCTAGTTAAATTGGTTAAAGATTTGAGTAGACATTTCTGAAAAGAAGACACATAGGTAGCCAGAGATACGTGGGAAAATACCCAGCAACACTAACCCCAGTGACATATTGCCTCATTCTACTTAGAATGGCTGTTATCAAAAAGAAAAAAATACTGGAGCCCAGCACCAGTGGCTCATGCCTGTAATCCTAGCTACTAAGAGACTGGATTTGAGAATCCCAGTTTGATGTCAGTCTGGGCTAGAAAGTCCTTGAGACTCCAATAAACCACCAAAAAAGCTGGAAATGGAGGTCTGGGTCAAGTGGTAGAGCTTTGAGTGAAAAAAGCTCAGTGGAAGTAGTAGGCCCTAGTTCAAGTGCCAGGACTGACACAAGCAAAGAAAAGAAAGAAGAGAAAAAAAGAAGTGAAGCTGAGGGCTGGTGGCTCACACTTGTAATCCTAGCTACTGAGGAGGCTGAAACCTGAGGATCAGGGTTCAAAGCCAGCCCAGTCAGGAAAGTCTATGAGACTCTTATCTTCAATTAAGCACCAGAACACTGCAAGTGGCATTGTGGCTCAAGTGGTAGAGTGCTCACCTTTAGTTCAAGAGCTCAGGGACAGTACCCAGGCCCAGAGTTCAAGCCCCACAACTGACCAGAAAAAAAAAAAGGTGAAGATTCTTAGCCTAAAAAAGGCTAAGGGAATTTCTTTTAAACAACAGTCTTTCAATATGCTAACCTTTCAGAAATATAACATTATTGTAGCATGTACTAACTATATGGATAAGTAAGAAGAACTTTAAAAAAGTAGCAATTAAAGGTAGTTACATTAATAGCTACTACTAGTAAACTATTAACATGTGCGTTTGTGTCACATAAATACTCATAGTTTTACTTTTGACACATTTCAACTGAAGATGTAATTTTTTAATAGTTTAAAATTTGTGCAGATACTTGTCCTATATATTTCAAAATGGGTTTTTAAAACTGCAAAAAAAATCCTTTAACTTTTAATTTTTTTGTCTGTAGATATTAAAATGCATGCTGTGGTGAAAAAGTTATGCTTAATTGACAAAATAATCGGCTATTTGAATAAATGTGTGAGTCAAGATGGCAAGGTAAGACTAATGTCTAGACATTTTGATCATTATTAGTTCCGAATTTAATTTAGCTGAATTTGGATGAATACTTGGTCTTCATTGTATGATAAATCCTAAGTAATCTCTGTTAACTAATTTTTTTTATTTACAAAAGGAGGTTTCTACAGAGGAAACTAATCTCAAAATTTCAATAAGACACATAAATTAGTACAAGTATATATAAAACTATTTTTAGTTAAAATTCTTTCCTAATGTTTATTTGATTTTAGTTTCACATCATTTTGATATCAGAGCCATAAGATCTAATAAGATACTATTGCAGTCTATTTTGTACTGCCTAGAGTTAGGGTAAAAAAAATTGTGTTTTGCCTCCTGCCAGGCTACAGAGTGCTTGGTGAAGCCATGTGTCACCCTCCTGAGGAAGCTTCTCTGTGCTGACCCTGTCATGCGTGCATCGCTGTCGCACCAGTCTTCACTCTTGTGCCTGTTACTCAGAGGTGAATAAAACAAGTGCTTTTAATGTGGCATCTGTCCATGAGTACACGACATTTATTTCCTGCTTAATTTGTACAACAGTGAAGTTTCTTACTGACAGTGCTGCCCAACAAATGAAGACAGAACAAAAGCCTTGTAACGGAAAGCTAGTAGTGCTTTTGTAGGAGTTTCCCTCAAACCCTCTTGCATTCTCTGGGAGCTTTCTAGAAATGCACTTTTTCAAGCTTTATCTTTCATACACTTAATGGAATGTGTTCTGTTTTTACATCTCCTGCATTTCTTGGTGGGTGTTCTGAATTAACTCTGTAAAGTTGAGCTTCATTCCTTCCAGCAGTAAAAATATTTTAGGAAGTTATGCTCTTTTTATTTTTTAAGTTTCCTTGATATTTCATGAAGACTGTACCATAGTGACTGAAGTTGGAGCATTGTTTTGTCTTCTGTTATTTGATGAAGTATCAAGCATGGATATGTGGTGAGATATAAGGAGTTATATACTTTTCATGCTTAATTATTTATTTAAGGTCTCTAGTGCAACCTGAGGAGAGTATATAGAAGTTTTTACCTTAGTAAGTCTGTCTGTGCTAGACACACGTGCTATCACTTTTGGTTTAGGCAATATTAAGATGTCTATTGGTTTAAAAGTCATTCTGAAATTTTATTTGTGAGCACTACTAAGTATAAAGTTTAAGAACTACTGCAGTGATTTTTGTCTTTAAGATATTTAGTATATACCTTTATCTTGGTGCTTTGTTTTCTGTAATGCTTTATTTTATTTTTTTAAAGGAGAAGATGTTTAGGGTGGTGCTGTCTGATTAGCACTGATCCCGACAACACATCAGTGGACAGCAAGATACAGGGTTTATCTGCTGGTACAACCATCATAGCGAGTAAACCATTTGTTATATGGGATGTGAACAGAAAGCGTAATTTATCCTCAATATAGATAGTAGAAAACATGTAACTATGTAGAATGTAGATCCAATCATAATCTTATATTTGTTTTTAGTGAAAGAAATAAGGGTTGTATTAGACAAAATGTTGATTTACTTAGTTGTTTGCTTTTATGAAATAGGTCTGTTAATCCTTCCAGTGAACCTTCTTCACCATCCGTCTTCAGTTTGCCCGTTTCAGTTTTTAGGAGGTAAGGGATTTATGTCTCTGACCTTTTCTTTTTTCTTTTTTGCTGGTCCTGGGGCTTGAGCTCTTGGCCTAGGCTCTGTCCCTGAGCATCTTTTGCTCAAGGCTAGCACTCTACCACTTGAGCCAACAGTGCGTCCAGCTTTTTCTGAGTAATTTATTGGAGATAAGAGTCTCACGGACTTTCCTGGCTGGTCTGGCTTCAAACTGCAATACTCAGATCTCAGCCTTCTCAGTAGCTAGGATTACAGGAGTGATCTACCAGCATAAGACTTGTCTCTGATTTTCTTAAAGAATAACTTACCGAGAAATTGCAATATAATTTGTCACCATTTTTGTGTTTAAATCAAATAATATGTACTTTCATGTTTCCTTCATACTTCAGAGCTTTCTAATTTCATCTCTGTATCTTCAACTCTTTATTTTGATATTGTTCAAATTTGTAGCAAAGTTGAAAGAACTGTACAGGGACCACCTCTATACCCTCAGCCTTGAGTGCTAACTTACGGGTTTTATTGCTTTTTCCTAATAAATATTTCTGTATATATTTACTTCCCCTCTTCAGCCACATGAAAATGAATTGTAGACTTTTTCTTTTAAACTTTTTCAAAATGCAGTTCCAGTCATGGTCGTCCCATACATTCAGCTTTATGTTTTTTAGTCTTTTGAAAAAGTACATTGCTTTTCTTTTATTGATAACATACATGAAGAGGATGTAAATCATAAAAAATACAGTCCAAGCTGGGCACCGGTGACTTACGCCTGTAATCCTAGCTACTCTGGAGGTTGAGATCTGAGGATCGCAGTGAGACTCTTTATCTCCAATAAACCACTCAGAAAACCTGAAGTGGCACTGCATCTCAAGTGGTAGAGTGCTCGCCTTGAGCTGAAGAGCTGAGGGACAGTGCTCAGGCCCAGAGTTCAAGCCCCATGACCGACATTATTTTTCCAAAAGAAACACACACATAGGGCTAGCAGATTAAGATAGTAGACTATTACTTCTGACCAGAAAGCCCTTTCACATTTCCTCACTTCCTCCTAACATCCCTAAATACCTGGTTTTAATTTCCATTACGGTGGATGAGTTTTACTGGTTTTTGAACCTTATCAAGAATGCAATATTAGATTTGGCTTCTTTTGTTCAACTTGGAGGAATTCCTTATCTGAAGCAGTAGTGAGCTGGTTCTTTACTGCTGACATTGTGGCATTTTCCCTAGGTATCATCTGCCAATACATGTAAATGGCCACCATGTTGTGAGTCCTTACTCAATAGTTTTGCCATTAACTGCTGATTGCTTGGCCTTGAAGCCGGTGTCCGACATGCTGAGAATGGCTTGGAACCTGTCCTGGTACCATGGGAGTGATAATCTACTGAAACAAATAAACTCTGAAACTAAAATCCAAAAGTAAGCTGTTACATGTGGAAAAAAATCACAATTAATTCAATTTTGCTCTTTCTTTAGTTGAAGTAATTTTTACAGAAGGTATTATCTTTTTTTTTTAATTATGAAAATACTGTACAGAGGGGTTACAGTTACAATTACAGAGGGGCAAGGTAATGGTACATTTCTTATCAAGCATTGTTGCCTCCTTTGTTTCCCCTTCCCTCCCTTCCCATCCCCCTTCCCCCAAAAGTTGTAAAGTTTGTTTTTCGACATAATGTCTTATACAGCTCATTGTTGCAGTGGGAGAAGGTATTATCTTTTGAATCAAGTTTTAACTGAAGATCATAATTTTTACTTTGTTTTAAAGATTTCTTGTGTCTGTATGAAAAAAGCTATTATGCCAGGAAATTGAAAGACAAAAAGATTGTATGTTGTACAGTTTTAAACATTATATAAAATTTGTTTTGTTAATTGATAAAAATCATTTTGAAAAGAGCTCTAGAACAGTGTAAAGCTCAATAAGTGTATGTGCTAATGGTTTCACTCTTTAATGTCTCAATTCCAAATCTGCTTTGTCTGAATAAAATCAGTTTACATGCCAATATGAACATTTCAGTCGCTCATCATAACCTACAACGTTGACATTTATACCAGGGGTACCAGCTTTCTTTTGGCTATAAATCAACCTTTAATTAGAAGAAGATGAAGATAGAACAGGATTTTGGGGATAGAGTTTAGAATAGAAATGATTGTGAGCTTTCATTTGTATGTTGCTCTTTGTTCTTTGTTTCATTCTTTGCTCCTTGTTTCATTTGTATGTTGTTCTTTGTTCTTTTTGCCTAGGTTTGTAGATACACTACTGCTGTCCCCAGAGGACATCCTCACGCTGAAGGCCACACACATGGCTAGTGGGCTGCAGGACTGCCTTCAGTCCATTGTTCAGGCTGTGGCCCACAGGGATGTGAGGGCTGCTGTCACCAGGATGGGTTTTTATCTTCTGAATGACAAACTGTCTTTAAAGAGCGCCGCTGGCCCATGTGGAGTTACCTTAAAGTCCTTGTCCTGGCACACAGTGCTAAACAGGTCAGTGGATGCTCAAGGCTGAACATTTCAAAGTCTTGGATTGAATTGGATTTGGGCTCATCGCCAAACCTTTGAAGATAAGAGTGTGGGTTCTTGTGGTTGCTATCATGAGAGAAATACTTTTTATAGTAAGAAAAACTCCAGGATTTTTTTTTTACTATCAATAATAATAGCAAAAGAAAACTAATTTAGTGTATTTTTTGAAAAAAAAAAGATTATCTTTATTATCCTGGCTTAGAGAGATTTTTCTCACAAAAGTAAGTAATTGGGATGAGGTGTGGATGAAGGACATGGTTTATTCCTGTCCATATTATAAATGAGTTGAGACATGTGTGGATTGATAAATAGGCTTGACACACCTGCCTTAGGCTGTTTTGTTTTCACTTTTCTTTGTTTTGTTCTCAAGTAAATTATCTGGTTTTTCTTGTTATTCTGAATCTCATGAAGTTGATTGCTGTGTGGAGGTCCTTTAATAGTAATTGGACAGACTCTAGTTGAAAATTTAGCACAATTAACTGGTAGCAGATGGTCACACTTGAAACAAGACTGATAAGCAATAACTCCAAGCAGCTTTTCCTTTCAGTCTTCAGGTGACTAGTGCAAAACATTTAACTTTCTCATTAAGCATTGATTATTCAATTTTCATATGTTAGGTTCCATGAGTTTCCAAAACATGAACTCCTTCCTTTGGCTTCCCTCTGACAGTAGGGTGTGTAATTAGGCCTTTCCAGTGCTCTGAGCCAGCCAGAAGCTGATGGCTGAGTTTTCAGGATTTTTGAAAAGTGATTGTTAAAAGCATCTGTCTTCAGAAATTATGTAAACTTATTTACAATTAAGTTATATGAAAAGTAAAATTTGTCACTGTGAAAAAGTCATCACATTCTAGCTGTTTCACAACATTTTACTATTACACATGCTTTCGGAGTTACTTGTAGCTGCTACATTGTTTGTGGAAATACCATCTCACTGTGTGGTGCGCGTCTTCCTTACTCACGTTGCACTGTGATGAGAAATCGCCCTTGTAGGAGTATCTAGGCCATGGAAACTGGCAAACCCAGTACATCAGCTCCCTCTCCCATCATTGCTGCCCACGACAGCATGCGTGTAAACTTTATAGGCCTAATAAATATGATATCTTTCTGTTTGCAACAATGAAATTTGAAGACAAAACCCAATAATGTATTTTTCTATTTTTGGATTTATAGTGTGAATTCATTTGTAATTTTTCCTGGTGTGAGTGGGAACCACAGAAATGTGTGCAGCGCCACAGTGAGGCAAAGGTTCTCAGTGTGGCTCAGTGGGAGCCCAAGGGTAGTTCAGATGGTACTGTAACGGTGACCGTACATGAACAGACTCGTTACTAACTTTGCTTTCTTAAACTATTCAGTGTGAGCCTTGCTTACCCAGGATTCACATTACGTTGTGTATTCTAAGCCATGTAGCTGTAGTTTAGTGTGGGAGGTTATGCGTTGATTGTATGTGAAATGCTGTGTCAGTTTTGTTACCAGTGAGGGGTTTGGGATCAAATTCATCATGGATACTGATATCCTGGAGTAGCTGCACTTTTTCTCTTTTATGTGGTTCCTGGTTGACTTGCTGGAGCACAGACACTGTAATCTTCATTTGTCTACTCTTCTCCACTTGACCCCACTCCTCTTCTTGCATGTGTGCCTTTCCTGGTGCTTTTGTTGTTGTTATTGTTGTTGGACTTTAACCTAGTCTTTCTAAAAAATTATACTATTTCAGCTCTCTGGAGTCTATCACATGTCAGTTAATTCATCTGTGACCACTTGTATGCTACCCAATGTGTTTACTTACAGATGTTGTTTTATCTTTTAAGTAGCCATACGAAGGAGTTGCCATTCAACAAAGTAGTTTATAAATGCACTGCATCTTGGTCAACATCACCCCTTCCATCATTCTCCCCATCCCTCTCAGCCCACCCCTTCTCTAAATTTGCTTAAGTTGTAGAATATGCATTGAATTGCATCACTACTTTCCCCCTTCCTTTCTTCATTCATCCACCCCCTCACTTTATAGTAGCTGATTCCTGGTGTTTATTTTGTTGGAGTTAACCTTTCTAAGTATAACATCATTTGAGTTCTCCCCTGAATCTACCATATTTCAGTTAATACACTAGGGTAAATTGTATCCAACTTCAAAGTTTATATCTTTATCTATGAATTCTAGCTTCCACATGTAAGAGAAAACAAACATCCTTCATCTCTCGGGGGTTGTGTTGTCTTGCTTCACTTTACATGATTTTTTGTTTTTGTTTTGTTTTTTCTTCAGTTCTTTTTTTTTAATTGTGAAAATACCTTATAGAAGGGTTACAATTATCTGGGCATGATAATGAGTACATGTTGCCTCCTCCTTTGTTTCCCCTTCCCATCCCTTCCCATCTCCCACACTCCCTCCTACCCCCCACCCCCACCCCAGCCAAAGTTGTAAAGTTCATTTTTTGACATTGTTGCAATGTATCCCTAGTTAAAAGATTTGTCTTTTTCCCTTCCCCTCCACAAATTGTACCAACATCAAATACAGTGAAAGCAGGGGTTATACCGTGGGGGAGGAACATACAAAGCAACAAAGAAATCATCTTATAAATATGTTAGAAACAATCACAAGGAAGAAAAAAACATTTGAATACTTATCTTGGGGTTCACTTCACCTAACATCACTTCACTTTACATGATTTTTTTAAGGTCCTTCCATTTCTTTGCAGGTAATTAATACCATTCTTTCTAATGAATACCTCTGTTTTTGGATCCATTTGTCCATTGACGGTCATCTCGACTGACCCATACCTTGGCTATGGAAAACATGGTTGTACTGCTAGCATAGTTGACATTTTGACATTTTTCTCCTTATCTTATTATATCCTTTTCTTCCTAACTGGTCAGATACTTAATGCCTGTCATTTTGGTATTCCTTCAATACTGTTTGTAAATTTGGTGTTCTTTTCACTGTCATTTTTCACTTCGGGACTGTTTTTCCCCCTCAATGTTACTTATCCTTATATTTTTCCTACTACCTGCTCAGGTAGTTGAAGTTCTCTCCTTTTTTGCATTTTCATTGCATCTCAGATACTGTTTCATAAAATAGTGTGTTCAGGAGATGTGTTGAATTGCATGTATCCAATGAGCAGTGATGACGTATAGTTTAAAGATCTAGAAACTACAATTACTGTCTTGTTCCTATAGGTTTTTACAAGTGCTTCCTGCTTGCATAGAAGATGAGAAACTGCTAATAGATATCATACATTTTCTAAATAAGTTAATAAAAGTACAAAGAAAAAATCCATCAGTAGAACTTCTAAACTGGATTCTAGAATTACTCCTTAGACATGTAAGTATTGTTAAAGAATTTTAATATTTTGATTTGAGAGCAATTTATTTATAGGAATGATTTATATTGTGGAAAAAAGTATTTTGTATAGCCTGTTCTCAGTGACGTAGTTCTTGCCTTGTAATTAGCAAATGGCTTGTAGCAACCTGGCCTTCCTGATAGAGTGAGTATGTTTGTTAAAATGCAGTCCTACAGAGAAAGTGGCACATTCAGTCTTGGTGTCATTATAACATAATCTGCCTGTATGAGTTTTCTGCTACAACTGTAGTCTTAACTGGAAACCTGCCAGGGCTTCACAGGGAATGTGGGGAGGAAGCAGAGGGATATCATAAAGGCAAGATTAGAAAGAATGGACAAAACAATTCTCAGGCTTTGAAAACAGATTAGTGGAGTATTTGCCTTGTAAAGCCCCCCTTTTACTTAAATTTTATTTTGTTTTATTTTTGAATTATCATACATTATAAACACAAAGATAATTCACTGTAAAGATTCTGTACATATGTACATTGTATTTTGAACATGTTCACCCATTATGTTCTAACAATATTTTTTGAACAGTAGTAGGTTTCAGTATGCTGTTTAGCTCAGTGTGTGTGTGTTGATCCACTTCATTCCTCAGTATTCTTTTTTATACCTTCCTCCACTGATTCCTCACCTGATGATCTAGCTTTTACATTTATGTTCCTTTAGTATTATTTTTTCATATTTATTTACTTTTGCCAACATCAGGGGTTGAACTCTGGACCTTGTGCTTTCTTGGCTTGCTTGCTTGACTGGCTCTATACTGCTTGATCCATGCCTGTTTTTTTGCTGGTTATTTTGGAGCTGCACTCTTCTGTATTTTCTGCCTGGACTGGCTTTTAACTAGGATCCACTAGCTCTCAGCATCCTACGAAGCTAAGATTACAGGTATGAGCTACTGGCAGCTGGCCTGAATTGAGGTCTTTTCATGTTTTTTAGTTAGAGAAATAGAATAGATTTTCCACAGTCCTGGTGCTACTAGTAGCAGTACTTACCTAAACAAGTTGGTTTGGGTATTGTGCCTGCTTAGTTATGTGTATTGGCAGGGAAAATTTTTGCAGGGAAATTTTTTTTTTAATTTTTATTTTTTTTATTGTGAAAATACTGTACAGAGGGGTTACAATTACATGGGCAAGATAGTGAATACATTTCTTATCAAGCATTATAGCCTCCTCCTTTGTTTACCCTTCCCATCCCTTCCCATCCTCCCTCCCCCCACCCCCGTCCCCAAGTTGTAAAGTTCGTTTTCGACATGACAACTTGTACTTCTCATTGTTGCAACAGGTACACCTGTATCCTTATTTAAACGACTTGGTTTTCCCCTTCCCCTCCACAAATTATACCGACATCAAATACAGTGAAAGCAGGGGTTATATTGTGAGGGAGGGACATACAAAGCAACAAAGAAATAAACTTATAATTGCGTTAGAAACAAATGCATGAAAGAAAAAAAAACATTTAAAATACATATCTGAGGGTTCATTTTCCCAACATCATCTTATCTGACCTTTTCTGCTTGACTCAGACATATACTAGATATTGCAAATAAGGGAAATCATGGAACCTATGTTTCTTTGGGCTTGGCTTACTTCACTTAAT